TTGACTTCATATTCGTAATCGGCGACCACAAAAACTCTCGAGTGCCGGGTTTCGAACAAATCCAATCATTAAAAAAGAAATGGACCGCCATTTTGGATCCGCCATTTTGAATTTCGAAAAACTGGCTTCATATTCCTAATTAGCAACCCCAGAAACCCACTGATAACAAGTTCCAACCCATGACAATGCGTAAATCGTTAAGTATCAACGTTTTAATTTTACTAGTGTCTTTTCGAGAGCATATTTTCGGGAACTAGACCCATTCTAATTGTCCAAGACGGGTGTGTAATTAAGGGAAAGTTCCCCAATAATACTAGAGTAATTATATGTAAAAACCACATTTTTAGCTGCATGGTAACATGTCAAGAAAATAAAAAAATTGAGAACATCAGCGTTTTTATAAAAAACCGACCAGCGCGACCTCTAAGAAAACTTTTTTTTTCAAAATAAAAAAATACGAGTCTCTTTTTTATCACAAATAACAATATTCTGATGTAGCGTTTATGAATTTCCAAAAAGAGTGTTTTTATGAACCACTCTAGTCTACAGCTCCCTTCGCGGTGTCCCTTTCCTGGAAAATTCGAAAGCGGCGACCATCTTCCTGATTGAAAATTCCATTTTCATCTTAAAGACTAGGATGCATAAAATTATAATTAAATTTATTGAATTTATCGAGTTGCAAGATAAATAAATTAGATTATGTCCTTCAATAATATAGGATCTTATATTTTATTGTTAATTTTAAAAATCGAATATCCGGATATTAGAATATCAACACATTGGAACTCTTAGCTCTAAAATGTATATACATACATAACTACGTATATGTATATCATCACCTGAAATGCAAAAAGACGTAACAACATCGTAAATGAAATGGAAAGTCGTGACTAAGGTTTTGTTCTTTTTTTCATAAATTGATGTGAGGAGTTGTGAATTTTGAATTTTTTATTAGTTATGACTTTTTGCATTTCCACGATGATGTTTGTTTCGTCTTTTTTCATTTCAGGTGACGATATCGAGTCCTAACCGCCAAAATAACGTAAGCGACTTTTTTATTCAAAATTTTATTTTTGATGCAGAAATATTCCTCGGGCATCTAGATGTAATTCTGCATCGAAAAGAAAATTTTGAAAAAAATGGCGCTTACGTTATTTTGGCGGTTAGGGCTTGATATGTTTGTATGTATGTATGTATGTACATATATGTGGATACAAAAAATGTGTGTATGTTAAACATGTGCCAATAAGTTGCAGCCACTTCCGTGTTGCTGCAGTATTTGGCACAAGTTTACAGTTCTGATTAATCCAAGTCACCCACCTACATTTTCGCTTGCATTTTATGTAGCGATTATATGTTGCATACATTTAGGCTGAGACTTTTGATGCACTGCTATAGCAATGAGAAGTGAAATGTGAAAAGGTATGTACACACATGCATACATATGCATTACGAATGTTAATCCCGGGATCCCGGACTTTTTAAGGCCTCGAAAATCTCGGGATTCTTGGCAAGTAATCCCGAGATTTTCGGGATTTGTAATTTGCACTGATGGCAATAATAGAAACTCCTTTTCTTGACCAGTATTGGTTATATTTCTTTTTTTATTTAATAATTAACATTTTTTATAAATGTCTAGTTCATTATACATATAAGACCGCGCTATAGTAAATTTTAAACACAAATGTGTGTATATTCGCGAAACCCCAGGCCAAATATAGTAAAATTACGTTTTCAGTTTTTCACTCTGTCAGTAATTCAA